AAGTGGGTAGCTATTAACCTTTTGTAGAGATGATACAATTCTCCATTCTAGCATAAAGCAATTGTGCTGTCTATACCACTCACTAAGATGGACTGGCATGCATCTCAGTGGGCAGATGTGGAAGTGAGGTAGGGCTACTCACCAGCATCTTTTATCACTCTTTTGAACTGATACCAACAGCATCCATGGATGCACATGGAGAGATTCACCTCCAAAACTTCTTACAAATCACAGATATCATCAAATTTACCCTTATGCAAGATGCATCTCCCCACAGCCAAAACCTTCGCTTGAGCTAGTCACAGTCCAGCCCCTAATGTTTTGTTGTCTATTTACCATTAGACTGACAGCTGTATGAACACCCCAGAAATGAACTAATTAATTCCTCTCCTTTTCTTGTGCTGACAGGTATCTTGGAGCATGATTCCATGAGGAACAGATTGTCTGCAGAAGTGTTAGCAAGAGCTCTGAATTCCCAGTGATGCAAAAGCAGTCCAGTGGCATTTAGCGGGACAAAGTAAGATCCCGCAATCAGGGCCTTAGATTTTGCCACAAAACAATTACCAGATAGCCAAAAGACCATTACATTACAAATCTAAGAGTTCAGCATATTTGCAGTACAGCTTTATCAGCCCCAGGCACAAACTTCAGCCACTAAATAGGGAAGATTCACTGTAATATTTTGTTGCAGGAAGCTAAACTACATAAGTCCCAGTGTCTAACAAAGAAAAACCTGAAATTCAAGTTTTGTATAAATAGGAGCTTGCTGTACCTTTCCTTTAGTCTGCTGGTAGACAGCTTTGATCTGCTGGCGTTGCGCATTGGTTCTTTTAGTCAAAATTTCAATGATGGTTGCTTCATCCACACCTGCACATGGTGAAAAATAAATATTGCAAATCACATCTGTAATTCATCCCATTTGCTTGATACTATGTCCATTTAGTTATTTAATCAAATCCTGATATACTTTATTCCCTGCAATGTTCTGCTGGACACATTTACATGAAAAATAAAATAAAAAAATCATTATGATTTGTCATAGTTAATAGTTATGATTAGTCAAGGAGGCAAGTAAATAGGTCCCAGTAAGCCACTGAAATCTACATCTGCTGCAGTGGCATATACAAAGTCATTGAAATGTTCTGAGTAACAAAAACTACTCTAAAGTATAATTAATCAAATATTAACAATATGTTAGATACCGCACCCATGTTTAACTTCACTAAATTTAATTTAAAAACTTTGATATTAGTCACAAAGTATCCAATGTGAACTTCAGTAAAGCCAGAACAGTAATTGAATATTTAGCACAATGGACACCCAACTGCATGCTACAATGTGTCTTGTCTGGCACATTGTGCCCAACTCTACTCCCAAGGTGTGCAAAGGTGGAAGTCCCCAGCCAGACATGGTGCTGGTCTCCCACAGTCTCTGGGCGCACCTCCTGCCATTCCTTGCTATTAAGTAATTTACGATCTTAATTAGGCGGGAGGCTGCCCATTGAACGCCCTGTTCTCCTTGGCCTACGTATGCAGGTCCTACCACCCTTGTACTGCATCCCAAGCCTTGCAGAAGTTGCTCACAGCTGTGCTAAAATCCAACCTGAGGCTGGGCCCAACTCCTCATAGCACTGAGTCTCTTCCACTCTGCCCTACTAGGGCTACGCTCATACCACTTCCCTCTCACAAAGGCCTCTCACTGCACCGGCTCTCACCTGGTCTCTTTCATCCTGCCCTTCCTGGGCCTCACACATACCGCACCCTCTCTCCCAGGGACCACATTCACCCTGACCTCACCTGGAGGGTCCTCAGGCTTACTACTCTTTACTCCCCGGCCAGCAAGCATGCAGCCTTTTGGGCATCTCCCGCTACCCTCATCTGAGTGAGCACTGGGCAGTTCTCAGAATGCTGTGCTGACTCTGCCCCTGGTCTCATGGCTGCATAACTCCTCCAGCTACTCTCCATCAAGGGGCTGATGGCTTTCCCCCTGTTCTCCTCATGGCTCCTCCTCTGCTGCCCTCCAATCAGCCTCCGGCCCACCTGTGACCTCAGGTACCCAAAGGCTTACTTGGATCTAACTCAGGTCCCCATGCTAGCAGAGCCTCCACTCAAACCCCTGCCTTCAGAGCCCCAATTCATGCCACTCACTCACTGGGCTGCACCACTACCACTCCCTACTGCATCCCATACTCTGGGGTCCAGGGTCAAACACCCCTGCAGACTCAGGTGCTGCTCAAATGCTTCACGCCCATGCCTCACGCCCTCTCCCCAGCACCTCAACTGCTCACCCCCTCTCTCGGGGCTTCAACTGCTCCAGTCATGGGGTCTTCCACCCCTTCAGGCTCTGGCACTTCTTGAAGTTAAGCTGGCCTCATCTCCAGGGTCTTCCACCCTTTCAGACTCAGGTGCTTCTCAAAGCTTACCTGGGCTTCACTATTCCCCTTCAGGGTCTTGCACCCCAATGGGCTCAGGTGTCCCATATGGATGTCCCTGGCCCCACTACTCCCTCCATTGTTATCATATAACCCACCGGGTGGTGGAAGCAGGGGTTTAGGCAGCCTGACCCGCCTTTCACCGGGATGGTCCTTGAACCTGGCATTTCAGTGTCCCTGCCCCACCACAGGCAGGAACACCAGGCCTTCCTATCCCAGCAGGGTGCAGTTTTAGGTCATGCCTGGGACCAGGAGCCTCCAAGACACCCCTTAGCTCCTGCCCTTATCTCTGTGCTATCTCCAGAGCAGCAGCTCCGCTGGGAGATGTTCCTTCCTCAGCACCAGGCAGCAACTGCTACCTCCAGTCCTGCTGGCTTGAGTCTTAAGATGGCCACTCGTCAAAACTGGGCTGCACCTGCCTGCTGCCTGGTTCCATTCTTAAAGTAGGATGGGTGCTCTGACACACACCTTCCTCCTTAAAATGGTTCCTGGGGGGGTTCCCTGCTGCTCAGCCAACAAGCTCCCCCAGAGCTTGCAACTTCCCTAAGTGGTGATCACCCCACTGGTGGTCCTCCACACATGGCTACCAGGCCTGAGTACAATTGCTCTCCCTCATCTCCACCATACAAATGCTCAAGTAAATTTAGCCAAACTCTGATAATCCTATGCTGCCAGTGCATTGGGACATATTCCACCCACCAATAGCTTGGCTTCCCTCAAGATGTCCTATATGGTCCACCCTTTCAAAATCCTTTGACTTTTCCTTACTTACTCGATGGCATGAAGAATAGTCAGCACAAGCACCAATCAATCACCACTGCATCTCTGACCCTACAGTCAGTCAACCAGGATTTAACTAGCCATGCCGTTATTGGCTAGTTAACCATTTTTGAACTGGACAGGGTCACTGTGCCTCAAACCTATACCAATGGGGTGTTCTCAGTGACAACAAATGTCCTCATGGACAAGTTCAAACCATGCCCTACATTGTTGACTCATGTCCATTTATTATGCTACCTGGGGCCCTCAAGCTCTTCAAACTGGTGATGACATCACCTTAATATTCCTGAAACAATATGTTGAAACTGCATATGCTAAATAAATACATTTAGCACAGTATCAGCATAACCGTTTCTTCTAAGGGGCATTTCATGGAAACCAAATCCAAAGCATTAATTTGGCATATTATAAGATGCTCTTCTGATTTTCTACAAATTAAATATTTAACCTGGGTACAATAAACGCAAAAACTAAATGTAACGTAAAAATCTGAAACTGAACATATAGTCAAGGGATCCAAACCACTTAGGGTCTTTGTCATGTGCTACAAAGAAAATACAGTAGTTTTGATGACTTACTGGGTTTTTAGATATTTTATGAGGTGTGCTATCTTGCTTGCTGTTGTATAGACTCAGCTTTTCTAAGGGAAAAAAACTAACACTGTATGGTTTATTTATTGCTCTTACCCTTAACAGTCATAGCTTGGTCCAGTGCAGCAGCATCAGATGATGGATTGAAGTTAGGGTATGAATGGACTGCAGATCCACCTTTTGAATGTTTCTAAAAGGAAGCAAAATTTGGTCATTTACAAGAGGGTCTTTTTATGTAAAGAAGAACCTTTTGCAGATTTCCTAATAGAGAGAACTGTGGATCCTGATGTAATTATCAAGAAACAAAATGTAATCCCTTTGTTCTGTCATTACCAAGGGAGGGACAAAGTACCGAGCATGTGCATTGTATAAGTAAAAGTTATATCACTGACTAGATGTGTAATCTTGGCCAAGTTGCTGAGAGTTTGTCTACACAAACAAACTCTATGCTAGCACTGCGCATACCAGCTTTGAAGCCAGAAGTAGAACTGTTAGTACAGTGTTGTGCATGAGCTAATAAACTCTGCTTATCAATAAGAATCCATTCCTTGTTCATGTGACTATTTAATTATTGATGTAAAGTGGAACACTTTCAACAAGAGAAACTGAGAATGCCACAACAGAGAATACTGTGTATCCCAGGGCACTTTTCTGGATTCAAATTTCTGCTCCATATGGGACAGAAAAGAGAACTCAGCCCAGGTCTCCTATATCACATGTGAGTGATCTAATCCCTGGGTTATTGGGTAAAGTTGAGGGGAGAGGAAGTGTGACATTATTCCAGGTCCTCTCTTCCTTCCCCATTTTATTTGATGTTAGGCATGTTGCGAACATAACATGTTGTTAGGCCTGTTGTACCACAGTCTGTGTTCTGTATATGCCCAAGAGTAGAAATTACTGGCAGACGTTTAGACTCTTGAAGAACTATCCGGGGTTTGGTAGAATTCTGAGGATTTTGTATTTTGAATTTAGTTACCTAAAGTGGTAGGATAAGCAGTATTCCCTTTGTGAACAGAGCCTGTTTTTGATGTCATAGCACCAGTACAAATCTGAAGAAACTCCATGTAAATCACTATTGGGTAAACTAGTGAAAGGACAAACCAAAGCAGTTCTTAATCCTGCTGTGCTTCTCTTCACCCAGTTTTGAGTTACTTAACTCAGATGTGTTGTGATGTTTCAATAATTAATTATTGTGAAATGCTTTGAAATCCACGTGTGATCTATTTAGTTATAAATCTCTTTGGTTCTAAAATCCTGTAAGCTCTTTGGTTCTAAGATATTATAAAGTTTTGATAGCACAACATTAATTTGGTTAAAATACTAGCAGGCAAATTCCTATAAAATTAGTCTTCTGTTTTCAGTATCTTCTGTCTTATTTTACTTTTTCTCTATCTTTAGTGTATATATTTTAATGAACTGTGGATGAGAATGACTTTAAACATACAGCCTACACATAATCGCAGAGACTGCTCCAATGAGCTGGTATTCCAGCTCGTTGGACCAGACTTGATTAATCAAGTCCACTGGAGCATGGCAAATACCACGCTCCAACAACCTCCTGTGTCTCATCTATCAGCATCCCTGCACTTAAAAATGGCAGCGGGGTGCTTGAACTAAAGCTGATTTGACGAGCTTTAATTCAAGAGCCCCTATTTTAAGCATGGGAGTGCTGATACACGACATGCAGTGGTGCTTTAATTAGAGCAGGTCTCAGAACCACTCTAATTGAACCCCCCCCCACACACACACACACACTCATGGAGCATATGTAAAAGTGCCCACAGAAGCCAAGGTGCTGGGTGTACACACCTCAGATATCTCATGTAGTCAAAATGAATTGCTTGATATACCTGAAAATATTTTTATGTAACTAAGCAAATTGTTTGGCTGGCTTTTTACCATCCCAAAATCAGTCTTGTGTTGTTTCTAAACATATACAGATATGTCAGCAAAGGGGAGGAGTGGTGAGCTCTGGAAGGGGGTGGGTAGAGGTGAAGATTCAAAAATCCTGGCTGCTGCTGCTGTTACCATGACTTGGATTTCTTGGGGAACCACCATTCTGGCACCTGTCTAAGCTGGTGCCTGAGGCCGATACCTGACACATGCACCCCTAGTTACACAGTTGCTCAGATGCACCCTCCGGCTGCCATGAAAAATTCTTTCAGCTGTTGCACCTGGTCATGAAAATAATTCTGGCTGCTGGTCATGGAAAGAAGGTGTTGTATTAAGGAAAAGGGATTGTAGGAAAAATGCTGCTGCTTGGAGAGGACACAAAACTGGAGAATTGCAAAAATAAGCCCACCTATCTGGTCCTTGACTAGCCATAGTTCAGCCAGCAGTGAGGATCCTATGCTATCTCCATCCCTACTAGAGTTTGTTTCTTCAATGATACTAGTAGTTACGTTCACCATTGAAACATTGGAGGGTCTGCAGCATATTTTTTCCTTCAAATAAATAAATATGTCTGTATAAATCTATTAAATTGATTTTCAGTACTCCACTCTGATAGTCTATATATGATATTCAGAGAATCTTTCCACCTTAAACAGTTTTAGTCCAGATGATACAACATTTATAGTTTAAGAATGAAACATATATATGGATTACATCTTTTCTTCTTTCTCATTACAAATTAAGATTTGTGGCTTCTCATCCTTTGTTTTACAGCACTCTGATCTAGGTTCATGTATCCTCTAGTTTTAGATGTCCACATTTCCTTACGTGTCAGACTGACTCATTTTAGCTTAGCTTCTTCTAACATTAATGACCAGTGTTAGAGAGTGACATTTTGTTACACTAACTGAAATGGCTTGCTAAATAGGTAGTGGATAAAAATCTTATTGAGTGATCTGTTACTGAATTTGCTAGCTTAAGTTTATATGCTAGAAATATCTTGGATGAAATTCTGCTTTCAGGGGCACTTTGTTATTGACCTCCTTCCTTGAACAAATACAACAAAGCCTCATAGATCACTGTCACTAACTTCTACTTTCTGATAATGCTAATATTAATTGTACTTCTAAAGTCACTTGTATATAAACTTTGTGCTCTGGAGTGTTAAAGTACTTACAATGTAGTCCTGCTCCTGATTTTCCATGAACCAGGACTGCTTCAGAAATTCTGATACAAAAGACATCTTGATCCAAGTTTCTGCGGGAAAGAAAGAGATAAATGTAACACTCACTGGATGTCTCTACACAAGATGCTTACTATGCACTGAACTAAATGTGCACTAATTAGGGAACATTAATGAATGTGTAAATGTGCCCACTTAATCCCAAAGGACTTTGCACACAAATGGACCACCCAAAGTAGTTACCATCTTATTGTTTTTAGTTGGAAGTTCTGCAAGTAACATTTTCAGGTTTAGGCCACAAAGGTTATAGTCTGCAGTAACAATGTTAGGGGTATGTAATAATGATATTGTACTCAGCAATTGCTCACACACAAACTGTATGCAAATACATAAGGTTGGGAACAACATAGTTGTCATGCTGAATCAAACCAGTGATATGTCCACTTCAGGATCCTGCTTCTAAGCCTATACAGTAACATCTTTAAAGCATGTATAGTAACAAAACCTTCAATATACAAGACACTATACTTAAGAGATGGACATCGGCCTTCAGGCAGGGAAGTTTGTATTTTTTCAATAGTTACTGTTTTAACGCTGAATATTAATTTTATCCACATGAATGTATAACATCTTTTCAGTTTGAGTGCAGTGTGTGTAAAACTGTCTTCTTTTTCACAGTTTGAATTTGCTGTTTTTAATTTTATTGACTATTTCTTGATCTTGTATTATAAGATAGGTTGATAGAAGCACCCAAACTATCTTATCTATACTATTTATTTTGATTACTTTAATCATGCCCCTTCTTATCCTTCTCTTCCAGTTTTTGCTAAGTATTATCCATGGTAGAAAAAGGAAAAAAGAAATTATATGTTCTGTCCTTCTTCACAATGGAAAAAAATGATCAGCCAGAATGAATGGGCAGTGATAATACAGTCCATTCACAATGGTTGTTCAGCCTGCAGTATGTAAAAATTGTGCTTTACACTAATATATGGTGTGTGAATATACTTGTTGTTATCATCATAAATACCTCAGTGAAAAGAGTACTTTCCACTATAAATATTTTAACTTTACTAAAAGGATTCCAAATAAGCAGGCTATAGAGATATTAAGCCTCAGGGAAAACACAAAGCAAAATTAATGTTGCTGTTTCACACCTTCCCCAAAAGACAAGATGTAGAGCAAGGCACTGAAGCTTCATGCTTACCCTACCATACTTACTAAGGTGTCTGTGGGGGATTCATTAGAAGGGCTTGATCCAGTCCTACTTAAGGTAAATGGAGACAAATGGCCATTTCAGGATTTGCTTAGGTTCAAAGAGCAATGTGTGATGCCATCACAAAAAGACAGCACTTGAAATACTGCTATATTAAAAATGGGTGTTGATGGATGTTGCTGCTACATCCCATCCTCTAAGCTCAAAATATTACTAACAAATAAAGGATCTGACCATATCCTGATGTAATTTATGTAATTAGTATCTGAGCAAAGCATCCCCTAAACTCATGTTAGGAAAACAATTTGCTGGAAGCTCTAGGTTCTTTACTCTTTTGCCAGAAGCCTTACCACTCAGATCACATTCGTGCCATTACAGTACTGATGTATAATGCTAAGGTTGATGGCAAGGGCAGTGTAGGATTTTGACATGTAAGCAATTTTAAGCATATAATGAGAAAAGCGATCCAGTCAGGGAATCCAGCCCACAGCTGAGAATGGCAGTAATTTCATTAGACAACACAGCAGCTCAACGAGAAACAGATTAATGTTGAACTGATCAGATGGTGGGGAAAAAAAAATCATCCCCTCCTTCCCCTCTCCCAAATTGATTTTGCAGACACTGCATTCTCTCTCGTATTTCTAGAGAAAATTCTTGAAGTTACAAATGTTAAGCATTTTTATAACTAAGTGAACGAAAGGAGTGCATTAGCCATGCATTTGGAATGTCGTCTCTTTTGTCAGTATCTTACAGCTTTAGCGTAATTTCTAAAACATGAGTCAAATTCTGTCTTTGCATGCCTGTCAGACACCCTTTTACTTTAATGGAAGTTTTGGGTCACAGAACCTGGTAAAAGCAAAACACTTAATTTTTTCCTGTTCATATTCTGTGATCCATATGACCCATTTTACTGTGTGAGACCCCCAAAAATATATAGTTTAATAATAAAAGCTACAGAGGATTGAAATATACATCTTCAAGTCATCCTAGTCCTCAAGTCTAACTGAGTGGCTTACATTATCTTTAACACCTAACTGGAAGCCAATGGAACAACCTTAATAATGGCATTAATTAGTAGGGCTGTGCAAAGCTTCGGTCACTGATTTGATTCAGTGGAGATTGGACCCAATTTGGTGGCTGAATCTCTGAATCCAAATCGAATCAGGAGACCCTTTAATCTCTCCAAATTGAATCAGAACCCTCTGAAACGATTTGGAGAGATTCAGAGAGATCCGATGATTCGGCCATAGACAGAGCTGTAAATGTTTTTTCTGCATACCTCAAGGTACCATGTGGCTCGTGAACACTGAGATGGCGGGGAGAATGGATCATCCCATGGAAGCAAGAGGGGGGGGGGTCCCCAGTGCACTCAGTGGTGGACATCTGGGTCTGCCACTGAGCACGCAGGGGGTCTCCCAACAATCTTGTGGGACGCTCCATCTGGCCCACCATCTCAGCATTCACAAGCTGTGCCTGGTACCTCAAGGTACGTAAAAAAAACATTTAAAAGCTGTGTCTATGGCCGAATCGCTGATTCTCCGAATAAGCATCGAATCTTCAGATTCAGCTGAATCAAATCAGGACAGTGATCCAAATCAATGAATCGGGCCAAATCTGAATTGAAATCAAATACAGCCCACTTCGCACACCCCTATTAATTAAGGCCTATACTCTTATTCAGTACCTTAATACATTTTCTAATACTGTAGTGATTCCTTCAGCTGGAATATGGGTGTGGTAAAAAAAGACAGATGCTGTCTGTGCTCCTAGTTATGACTAATAATGTCTACTGTACTTTTCATTAAATAGGTATAGGTAGAACCAAGTTCTTATTTACACGTTTAAGTTCATAGATCAAATTGACTGGTGTCTGGCCTAGGGTCCCCCAGATGAGAAATCCTAGTCACCACTTTTAGCCAGAGTAATGCTGTAGGAGAAGGTTCTGTTGCCACCCGCTCCCCCTCCTCCCACTGCAGACAACCTGTTCTAGAGCAGCGTTTCCCAACCAGTGTGCCATGGCACACTGGTGTACCATCAGACATGAACAGGTGTGCCGTGGAATTTTGGAAAATTCACACAAATGAATAAATGAAATACAGGTACTCCTCACTTAACGACCTACCTGTTTAACGACCGTGCAGACTTACAACCAGCAAGAACTAGTCGTAAGTACGAGAACTGGTCGTAAGTACGAGCACTTTGGTCTTTGAAACAGCAGCACAGCATCTCAAGCCAAGGCACGCAGTATCAAGGGGTGGCTCCTCGCTTATCAACCAATTCGCTTAATGACCTGGTCGCAGGAATGGAACTCGGTTGTTAAGTGAGGAGTACCTGTATTCTATATATATATATAACAGGCTTAGTCCATCTGTCTGTGTGCCTGTCTGTCTGTAATGCTCTGGGGGGGCGTGGCTCCAGCCAGTGCCATGCACCACTCCTCACCTCCCCCCCACCCCCGCTCTGTGGAGCCATGGCAGCATGGGCCAGTGGGTAGTAGCAGTGACCATATTATCTGTTGGGGGCAGAGGGAGTGGGTGGCCTGCTGCAATTTTTAAAAATTTAAGTGCAACATGGGATGGAAAAGATTGGGAAATGCTGTCCTGGAAGGTGGCAGTAGGTAAAAGGAGGCAAAGTTTCACAAATTCTCAGCTGGCAGAAGGTCCTTAAAGGACTATATCAAATTGCTGTTTGCTTCAAAGGTGCTCTCATTTATCCTGAGGCTGGGCCAATAATATTTATGATTTCAGGTAGCCTGTACCTGCCCGTTAATGATCCATTCTCTCCTTTAAGAGACTGAAGGGGATCTGCCTCTGTATTTTCTTTTAGTACAAGGACACTTTGGCAATTAAATCCATCCATTTTCTCCTAGTAAAAGTATAGAATTTTTAACTTTAAAACACCAAAGATGATAATTGCATTTGGGAAAGGTCAGAGACCTTATTCCGATTGTGTTTTCATTTATTCTATAAGCTCAGAAAGGTAGGCATTTCACCATACAGACTTAGTTTAAAATGAGTGAAAAAGAACAAAGTGTTGATTATAGCAAAATGACAGTTTACAATAACTGATAGTGAAGTCTTTAAAGTTATTATGAGGACAATAACAGACTTCCTAAAGATTAAGGTCCTTCTTGGGTCCCAAGGGTTCGTGAAGTCCTTGAGAGCAAGAGGCTAATGTTAGCAGAGGTGATGGGTGAGAGGGCTATAGCAGTGAGAGGATTTGAACTACAGAGTGAGTCATAAAGCAACCCAGGGTCTCAGGAATCAGAAGGGTGTAGCACCTCCTCTAAATAGTCCCTCTAGTCCCCAACTCTGGCTGGGAGGTAATAACAAATGGCCTTAACAGTAAGGGAGAAAAGGTGGCCAAGCTGCAGTTATGCTAGGGGAAAACAGTAACATTTATTCCCATTTCACTAGACAGGGTACTTAAAAAGTGATCTGGCTAATTTATCAGGATTTTGTTCATAATTCATTCCACTACGCAGGCCTGAATTTCTTTATAGTCCACATTAAGAAGAGGTAGCTTAGGAGCTGGAGCTCCTCTGGTGGAAAACCTTACAATTTTAAAATCTGTTTTACTTCTGAATTGGAACAAAACTCTCTCTTTCAAAGTTTCCTAAAAAAAAGTAAGTCTTTAGTTCTGATTTAGGTTTTCTCATTTTGTAAATACTTTTATTGTTAGTTTGTAGTATAAGATGGAAAGAAATGCAAAATGAAAAGTCAAGTGAAGTGATTCATTTTGTTTTTTTCAGAAAACATATTTGTTGATCTTAACATGTCTGTCTGGAAAAAATGTGTCGCCATAAAAATGTCAGCCATCTGTATTCACAGTAATAGGAAATTACAATTAGATACTACTTATTATCTTTTTGGGGAACCAAAAAAGGATATTTAGTCTCAATTTATTTTTACAGGCATGACTCCCACTTTACTTCAGTAAAGGTATACACGTTTCACTCTGGGATCAAAATCAAGCTATATCTTTTCATACCATTTTTCTTCCGAAGGACAATTTCCATCTATCGTGCATTTGATATTGTGTGGATACAGTTACCCGGTCTTACAAGAAGTTAGCAGATACAGTGCCTGCATAATCCTATAAGTATCCAAGAATCACTGCATTTGTTTTACATTAAGAATACATTAAGACCTTGAAAAACCTGTTCTCTGGACACAAAAGAACAGATCCGGTTGAAACAGCCCCACCCTTAGCAGCAACAATAACAAAAAAGGAAAACCTGAGTGGACCAAAAACCAGCTCCTAGAGCCCTTACTCACACTGACTTTTTCTTACTCATATAGCTACATACATATAAAAAAAGATATTATTTTCTTAGACATTTCTTTATAAGTGATATCTTGCTTTCACTTAAGCTGGAGTGTAGGACAATGAGTGCTCTCTGCTTGTGTATTTAAGCAGCTAACTGGTATCATAGTTGGAGCAGTTAAAAAAAAAAAGTTTCCATATAAGGCATATTTGTTTCTTTGTGCCTTGTAGTCTAGCTATAAAAATAGTTCTCCGCAGTAACCAATAGAAAAGGAAACCAACACATTCCAAGCAAATTTGTCCTTCAGTTGTTAAAAACAATTCAAGATTTCTTATGAAGATCAAGTAAGGAACAACAGTGGTGACATTTCCAGCCCCTACATGTAAATTTAGTACTTTAAAACTAAGAAATGAATAACATGCTGACCACGTCCATCTCTGCCTGAGCCGACAAAAGCAATGTGCAGAAAACTGCCCCAAGTCACTTGGTAAATGTAGCATATGCTTGCTAAAGTTTGCTGAATCAAACTGAACCCCACAAAGAATTGAAAACATACCTTTTTGCCTCACACAGCTCAAAGTTTACTTCTCTGGAAGCTAGGGACTGGAAGAGCAAAGCCTCAGGCTTGTGATTTTATAAAGCCATCTGAGAGACCACACCTAGTAACCAGAGTGTTTCTACAACTTTAGTGATTGGCTGTTCGTGGTCTGAAAGCTAAATATGGGTCCCTTCCAAAGCATACATACACATGCAAAAATGCATTGCAAAACTGTTCATTGAAATGAACCCAAGAGCAGATTTCAGAAGAAAGGGAAGACCAACTATAAATAGTTTGATACTATACTTTTTTACATTTCTGGGGGCAGATCCTCAGCTGGTGTAAACTAACAGAAGTCTGCTTAAGGCAATAAAGTTAAAACTAGTGAGTTAAAAATTATGCTATGTGTTAATGTCTTCACGGTCTGATCCACTTGGTTGTATAGCTTAAAAGCAAGGACTGGGGAAGAGTGAGAAATCTTAAGAAGATGGAGGCTAAACAGCTATTAACTTTGCTTCCTCTGTTGAACCCCAAGTATGTTGCATCTGGTGCACTGGCACAATACCTGAGGTAATTCAGGTATTAAATATAGCCTAGCTGCACATGGAGGTCTTCATGGACCTCCCTCAGAAGCATTTCCACGACTATGGGAGTGTCTTCCATAGTCTGTTTAGAGCTAGCCTATATAATTCTATGCTACACATTAGTGTGCAAGGTGTCTTGAGACGTATCTGTAGATCAGAAATGGTCCAGGAGTCACACAGATGGTTCTCCCTCATCAACTCCATATCCAAAAGAGAGACAATTGGCTTCTTAAATTTTAGAGAATCAGCATCTGGAAACAGGAACACTGAATGGATGTGCCATAATCAGCTGTGATAACTATGAAAGGGCCTGAGTTGCAATTTTTAGGTTTAGCTTTGGACCTCAAAAATTTATGAATGGGTGGAACCTGGTTCTTTGCACAAAGAGGACACAGCTGCAACACTTGCCTATCATGCTAATCAGTAATGTCACACTCCATCTGTCTCTTATGTCCACCTATTCTTTCTTTACTTAAATTCTGTCATGTATTTTTTTAAATATTTTTTTGTACAGCACTGTGTACAATAGGGCCACACTATGTCAACATTTTTTTTTTAAACAACAATGTTGATATCCCTATATATTTAGATTCTGACCACTAATGCATGCCATGAATTCAACCTAGTCTGAAGTTTCAGATCTGGGGGATTTATACATTTTAGTATCATCCCTAGTCAAAAGATACCAATAAGTTATAGCAAGGGAAGAGGTGTAGAGCAAAAGAAAATCGAAATATTTTGAACTGTAAAACTATATATACTTTCTAAAACAAGTGTTTACTCTGTGATGTATATTGCCTATCATTTTTTGTCAGAGGCAGTATTGCATTTTAATGTGGAAATGTTTGCTACCGTAATTCCTAGGTTTGTGATATCATGAGCTGCTTGTTTCAGTAGCATCATCATTTCAAACAAGGCTGTGTTTGGAAATTGGAAGGGAAGGGAGTACTGAGCCACTCAGAAGCTTAAGGTGGCCTGAATTAGGGTCTTGTTACTCATTAATTTTGGGCAGCTTCTGGAGCACCTAATACCTGGATTGTCTGCACATTAACGCCTGAAACTAATTTTAAGCGCTAGTTATGCCTCTCAAAGCTACTCCACTCTAGGGTGGGATTACCTCTGATCCCTATTACTCGGCTCCTGTCACACTAAGGTTGCACATTAGTTTAAATACCACAACTGCCCCCCTTCTTCTGCTGGCGCAGATTGCGCCCCCTCCCACACACACACATGTACACCCTCCCCAGCACCTGCTCACTGCACCCCTATCACCTCTGTTTGCTTGTGGCTACTCCTGCTGTCTGTCTGTCCCCAGGGGGCTGATAGGGAAGGGTTAGTTTACCTGCCCAGATACCTCTGCTGCTCCCTGGGTGGGCTCAGCCCATGGAAGAGCAGCTGGGATATCCTGGCAGGCAGGTTAGCCCTTCCTGCTCCCCTGAGACAGACAGCATGGTCAGCCACAAGTAAGCAGGGGGTGTGAGGAGTAACTGCAAGAAGGAAGCAGTGGAGCCTCAGCCGTGGTGGTGGGGGCACCAAGGGAGTCCCAGGGGGCAGAGGCTGGCCAGAATGGGGGGAGGGGAAGGGGGAAAGGGATTCTTACATTTCAGTCCTCCTAGGCCCCTGCTGGCCTGAACATGTGACTGCTTCAAACTCAAGCTAGCACTAACACAGATCACCATATATGTGGCTCACTGTTTAAGATGTAACTTGGCCCTTCCTGTCAAAAATAACCACAGCCACAATGCCCTTGAGAGTGAAGAGATTGTTTCCAAGCTCCTCCTCAAGGTAACAACTTGCTCAACAAGAACACATGAAGTGGTGGTAATTTAGTAATAGGTTTAAAGGAATATTATAGCTTTCTTTTCCATGGTGAACAAAAGGCACGCCTACTGAAGCAAAGCTATTTTCCTACCAGTCTCAATGAAGGGCTGTGGCTAAATGTTACAATTTTTCCTGTAAAGTTTAAGTAGGGTTTAGTGATTGCTGTCAGGACTTGGGTCCCCTTAAGTTAGATGCAATTTGATCCTTTTTTATGAGAGCACTGAAACATTGTAACAGTGGCTACTGATTTGCATCTGATGACAAAAACACTATGTGTAGGAGGAAATTCTGACTTAACATTGCAAGGAAGATTATAAAGAAGAAGCTTCAAGGTATAAACAAGTTTTTTGTAGTACCTGGCTAAGGTTTAGGTGACTTAGGTTAAGCCAGTGATTTTTAACAATGGTGCTATGAGATCTTCTGACGGGTGCCACAAGTTGTGAAGAGATAAGCAGGTCCCCCACTTTTTGGCTCTTCTGCAAGGAGGTAGGCACTGTAATAAATGAATCAGTTTTTGAAATGGGCTGCTGCTCATGTAAGAAAAGTTATGGAGAGGAGCTTCAGGTCAAATGAAAGGGTGAATGAGTCTAAAAAGTTTGAGAACTACTGGTTTAATATGACTAAGCCTGAATCAGGATCATTGCATGCAAGCACTAGTTACTAACCAAAAGGAAGTATGGGAAGCTGAAGGCAGGTAAATCCAGGGGGTGGGGCTGGTAGGTTGGGAGAGGCTGGTGCACGGTATATATCAATTAACTGAATCATAAAAACTGTACAGTAGTATTCATTGGTCACATCTACACATGTATTTATTCCAGCCTAAATTTATGCTGGTGTAAGCTACTCTGGCGTAAGCATTTTTGGGCAGGTGTCTATACATGCGGGATTAGGGAGAAAATGTGTACCAAGTTTTTTGCAGCCCTGTAATGGGCCCCTGCCACAACCCGGGGGGGAGCTCTAGGCTCCGGCTGCAGCTGCCAGTACCTGGCAGCCACCTTTAAAAACCAGTCCGACTCTCTGCTGCCTGGTCAGCCCCTTCCCTGCCCAGGAGCAGCATGCCCAGCACAGGGGCTGCATGTGGCAGCTCTCTCCCTACCCGCTCTGCCTCCCTATGCCATGGCTGCTCCAGCCCCTGCCTCAGCAGTGACAACCAGTGAATCACCCCTGGAAGTGATGACAGGTGCCCTGCACTCCTGCTGGCCATGGTACTGGCCCTACTGGCTCCAGCAGGCACCCTCGCCAAGGTCCCAAGACAGCCATGCACCTGACAGTGGGGGCCCCACTGAGTGTGGGAAGCCCTGGCTGACCACCACCTCCAGCCTTCCCCACTCTAGTTCACCTGCACTGCCACCTATGCCTCAGTCTCACCTGCCCACCCGCTGCATCACACTTACTGAAGACATGTGTCAGAAGAACAAGCCTTTGTTTCCCTCCAATCAAACAGACCCCCTTTCCCCTCCTCCCAACATACAGAGCACCCCTCCCACTCCAACAAACAGACCCCACCAACAAACAGAGTCCCTCTATCACCACCCCACCCACCAACAATAAAAACCCCTCTTCCCCATGCAAACTATTTACAAAGTGATTTTTGTGGTGTCTTGGAGTGGGATGAGGGCACCTAGGGAGCAGAGCCTGGGGGCAGGCAGCCAACACCCCAGCCTTTGGCCATCCCCTGTGGGTTTGGATGCCGTGGCTCACCCAAGGGTAATGGCATCTAGTGATACTCTGGCACAGCCAGCTCCCCCTCTGGCTGGTCCAGGCCTAGCAGGGCCGGCGTGCGCTCCTGGAGCTGATGCAGGCAGCTGTGACTCCATGCCCACATGGAGCCAGGCCAGGTGGCAGGGATGGGTCCAGGGGGAGGGCTGGGTGGTAAGGCACCTGGGGCAGAGCCCAGGCCAGGGGCTCCTGGCATCTGGAGTCAGTGGAGGAACTCCTCCCAGGTCTAAGTGGGAGCCTGCTGCAGGATAGCGGGTGGCTGCCAGGGGACATGCAGGGCTAGTCTCAGAGTCGGAGCAGGAAGCATGAATGTGACCACCAGGGCCAGAACAGTGTCCAGCACCTAATGGTCATTGTCTGTAGCCTGCCCTGCCCAGCCCAGGATGACAGTCTGCTCCTGCAGCACTGGGAACAACTCATGCTTCAGGGACAGGAGCTTGGCTCAGAACACCTGGTCCCGTGCCTCCTCACACCAGTCTTGCACCCCTTCCCGTCAGTCCACGCATCCTCATGGGTGACATCCTCTGCCCGCCAAGCCTGTGTATTCTCTATATATTCCTCTGTGACCACCACCAGCCACTGGAGGAGGAGTGTGTAGTCCACTGTGTGTTTCTGGTGGAGCCAGCACATCCACAGAGCCCTGGCAGTGAATGGCAGTGACCCTCAGCCTGCAACCCCACTGCCAAGTGTGGCCTCTCCCCCATATCCAGATGCAGGACCTGCAGAGCCATGAGATAGAATCTTTTTGTGAGAGTTTGTAACATTTCATAGAATCATAGAAAATTAGGGTTGGAAGGGACCTTAATAGGTGATCTAGTCCAACCCCCTGCTCAAAAGAGGACCATCCTCAAATAGATCATCCCAGTCAAAGAATTGTCTACATGGGTTTTGAAAATCCCCAAGGATGGAGCTTCCACCACTTCTCTGGATAACCAGTTCTAGTGTTTTACTACCCTCCTAATGATAAAATTCTTAATATCTAACCTAAATTTCACTTGCTGCAATTTGAGACTGTT